ATTTGTTAAAATATGTTGAGTTTTACAACTAAAGTGAAGTTTACATCCAAGATTTAGGGAGGTCAAAGTACTTGAAAGTTGGGTGCAAATAAATAGAAAAATAAAATTATCAGGCGTACAATTGGAGATTTGAGAGTGACAGACTAAAATCCTCAATACAGTCCTATCGTTTGGGTGTTGAAGTGTAGATGTTAGCCCTCAGGCAAGGGGAACATTGGAGCTCCAAATTGAGAGCCGTTATCCTCCCAGCCTAGCCGCAGATTCAGTAACCAAATATAGGATTAGTCAATGTTATTTATGCATGGATCAAAGGGTAAGGAATAGGTATGCTCCCATTTGGCACAATACAATTTGAACTGATTCACTTTATCCATTCACTTAAATTTCTTGACATGGAGAATAATGCTTTTTTATATATTGAACATCACATTAGAAACTTTATTAGTTGAATTAGTTAATTAAGAGTTTATTAAAATTATATTTTTATTTTAATTGCTTATTAGTGACAAATATGCAATTTGAACTATATTGTTGTGATTAAGTATTGAATTTTTAAATCTTAGTTCGTAACCTCTAATATTAGTCCCTGTGGGATCGATATTCAGGACTCCATTAGAGTAATGTATTACTTGAGCGATATGTATACTTGCATTGATAAGTGTAACTTTACAATTATTGAATATTTTATACACATCTTTATCAAATCTATAACAGCCGTCAAGTTTTTGGCGCCGTTGCCGGGGATTTAAATCTTCTAGCAGCACTATCAAATTCTTGTATTTTTAAGCATAGATAAAGTCGCTGTCAGATTGTTCCCCCATTGCAGATTTACAGTGCCATGACTTGGGTAAATTATACCTCCATCTCACTAAGGCGGTGTGCAAAGGAACATGATCAGTAGCAAGATTTGATGAAAGATGGCTGATTTTCAGGATTTCTATGGTTGTATCAAAAGGTATCATAAAGGGGAAAACCCTAATTTAAAAGTAGAACAAAAGCCCCATACTCACAATTCTATTTGACTTGGATGTTGTAAAAGACACTGCACCCTCACCAGTCTTCTTCTTTCCCTCGACCGGAAGGGGAAGTTTGCCTCTTGGTAGTTTGGGGAACAAGTTGCTTCTAGTTGTCATTCTAACCTCGATGACCAGAGGGTTCAACTCTTCAGGAACATGTTGAACGGGTGCCTTAACGACAACCACAGAATCATCAGTAGGAAGTGAGAGTTATGAAGGGGGATCAACTAGTCGTCTCTCGAACTATTTATGAAGCTTCTTCTATTATGACCCGATGAGCAAATCAGAGAATCTCATCTGATCTCTCTGGTTGGTAGCTTTCTTTTTCTTCGCCACTTTCTTCTTACTTGTTTCCCCGACAAGCATATTTTATGTCTATCTTTTCTTCACCTCCCCTTCCTTTCGAGCCTTAGCTCTCTTACCCTCGAGGGCCCAAATTAGCGCGTCCCTGTCGTGAGATGTTTCCTTGCCATCACTGAAGGGTCAGACAAAAAAAGTAAGTACATCATAGGGAGAGAAAGAAAGGAAGATGAACGTAGCTCGGAGCCCCTCCCAGTCTACTTATAGCAACCTTGAACACTAAAATCTACGGAAGTCATTTATTGAGCAATTATATTGTCATAAATTAGATTCATCTTTTTATATTTTTGTATTATGAAAAGATTCAATTATTTTTTTGTATCGCAACTTTCAAGAAGCAAGAAAATCAAAAAACAAAATATGTATATAAAAAAAATATGGTAGCATGAATCTTGGAGAAATCCAATGGCAAAACACGTCATCGATAGAGGGAAAGATCTATCGACTAGTTATCATCCACTTGGACCACAATGATGGAATTTGTCCGACAAGATCCAGGATGGATCAGATCATTCACAATGTAGCTCCTGTTCTTGAGAAGACTTCAACTGAACCAATCGGCCTAAAGTAGACCAATCAGTTACGATATGTGTAAAACATTAAAATAACCCCCATTATTCCAATAAAAGGGTGCACAAATGTAGTCTTAAGCCTTTACCCTCCCCCCTAAGCCTACAAATAGGAGGTCATTTTTTGAATATTGTTTACGCGTGTCTACTGTTAGTTACCGCTCTCTCTCTCTCTCTCTCTCTCTATTGTCTCCTACGCTCCATTCATTGGGTTTGTCTCCAAAATAGATTTGGATTCAACATTATAAATATTAAAATTTAAATATAAACAATTCTCAGTAAAAATATTGATTAAAATCAATGATAATTAACCACACTTTAATAAGTTCAAACTAAAAAAAATTATAAATCAAATTTCTTGGCAAGATGATGCTAGTTTATTATTTTTCACCATATTGTATAAAATGATAGTACATAAATTAGTGATGTTTAACAAGTAACTTAAATGATTAACAGAAGCACATAATCCAATCAAGGCTCTTAACATTTTTAGAGACCAGCATGCCCCACTTACAAATAGAAAACAACCATTACATTTTTATTATTCAACACATTTAATAATAAGAAAAAGAGACATAAATCCTTAGCACAAGCAAGCAAGCATGGATTTTCTCCTGATCAGGCATTATTTTTCTGCAAATAACTCACAACACAGTTGAGGTAATGCTTTAACATCTTGGAAAGCTCCTCCAAAACCTCAGTTCCATCAATGTTCTTCTCTAAATCATAAGTAACAGTTGTGCTGATCATAGTATTGCCTTCTCCTATACAATCAAGCTTGAAAGAAGTAACCAAGCAAGCAAACGCTGGCTTCATAAATCCTCCTTCTATTCCTTGGAAGCTCAATACATGATTAGCTTCATCCAATTCAACCACCTTCTCCTTCAAGGGTGTAAGATTTGGTCTATCTAAAAAATACATGCAAAAGCGATAGAAGAAAGCATTGCCAAACAATGAATATAATTACTACTTACCATAAAAAAAAATTGCATACATACCACACAACTCTTATGTATTTATATAGTTAACACCTCAACTCCCATATTAATATGTTTAGCGCCATAATCATTAAGATTATATCAAAAAACCACTATTAAAAACTGTTTAAAGGTGTATTGCACCTTCTCATATATAGGTTTATCAGAATTTATGTGTTAGATATATAAATACATAAGAATTATGTGCTAAGTAAATTTCTTACAAAATTGCATTCACTAGATTCATCAGCTCATAATCCTCTTACAAAATTGAAATCACTATTTACAAAATGTTCTCTCCTCTCCATTTTTTTGTTATTTTGTAGTAGTATAACAATGATGATATGAAATTAATTATAAAGTTAAAGAGCAGAGGAGTTCACCAGGGCCAAAACTAACATGTACGATTGAGCCAAGAACAATATATCCATGACCATTATCTTCAAGTATATGTGATTCACTTAGTAGGCCGGGAGCAGCTTTTTCTATCACTTCAAATTTGTCTTTGGTCAACGCCTGCCATAGAACTTCGATATTAACTTTATCAGCCTTGATTTGGAACTGTAGTTTGCTCGCCATTGATTAATGTGTTCTGAGGGGCTGGATAGAAGAAGTTGATTTATAGACTTCAGAAAGTTATGGTGAAGAGAAAGGGCTCCACCAGCAGATTTAAAAAACAATTGATTTAAAAAGATAAGGTTAGATATAGAAAGATAGGTTTTACAAGAATTTTTTCTTGTTTTATTATTTGGACAAGACTGTGCATCATACTGTTTCTTATTTTTAATTATTATATTAGCTTCATAAAGACAGAGGCAACTGAGGTGGAATTTTGGAATTTAAGATAATTTGCATGCATAGCACACAGTTCTTATGGATTTATGTATATCACACCTAAATTTTAATATTTTTACATATAACATTTTATTTATGCATGAAAAGATGGATTTGCTTATTAAAAGGTGGTGATTAGTGCTATTTTAGATGTGATACGAAAGAATTTGAAAGTATTGTTGTGAGATATGTAAATCTGTAAATATTGCGTGCAATGTATGTAAATGTTGAATAATTGTTTTTTAATCAAATTTTGTGATTATGATTGAAAGTAGCTATTAAGGTTGTCAAACTAAAACTAGTTCTAAGGAAGCAGGTCGTTGCTCGCTATAAATGTTTCGTGGAGGCTCGAACTTTTCTCTAAGTTTACAACAATAGATTGATGGGTAGGCTTTGTCTAGGTTAAACCTAGCATGGAAAAACCTTACTCAGGTAAATTTAGTCCTTGAGAAATGTTATTATTATATGTTCCTTCTTCAACTGGCAAAAGGTAGCCTAAAAGAATTCAGTAGGCTTCACTGCTAGCCAGTTTACAGAAGGGGAAATGACTTTTTCGGTTAAGAGAGTACTTGGGAAATTATTGGAGGGTATTTCTACCATATAGGAAATAAAATAAGGAAGAAGATTACATGTTTCTTGACTACATGGATCTCTCACTCAAGTTATGATTACACATTTCTTGACTACATGGATCTCTCACTCAAGTTATGATTCATTAGAGTCGTAATTTGGCTTGGATCGTCTCACAATTTTGAAGCAGAATATGTGAATTACATATAGTCATATTTTTGGAGATGCAAGGTAGTTATAGTGCTTAGTCATTTAAATGTAGCCTCAAGGCATATAGCAATGTAAGGGGCACTGGATCCTATTCCTAGCGGCCCTAACTATGCTAGAAACATGATTGCTCAAGAAATGCTCTATTGTGAATTGAAAATCAAGAAATAGTAGTATTACTAATTTTTTTTTCTTAGCAATAACTTTGTGAAGAGTTTTTTATAGCACTAATGTTATTGTAATAGCAATTTTTTCAAGGCTATTTCATGATAACATAAGTTTATCATATCATTGAGTTTCTATTTGTACACTAGAAATTTTCCTTGAGTCGTATGTAGCCTTAATCTATGCTTTATAGTCAACAATATTTTTTTTAGTAGTTAAATCTCCATGCCTCTCGATAGAACTAACCATATATTTATCATATGCAGACATAAGTTTTATTGTCAAACATAATATTAACTTCTTATTTGATATTATTAGCGTTCAAGATGTATAGTCTAACAACTCCATTACTTGGAAAAAGCAGGTATAAAAAAATCATATGCATTATGATTATAATATTACCATGTTTGGCTAGCATACATGCATATTAAAAAAAATCATATGCATGTATCTAAAACTCAAAGTTTGATTTTATATTTGCTGTGATATGAAATATCTATGTGATATAAATATAAAAATTAAAATTTAGATTTAGATATGTTAAAACAGAAAAAAATGGAGTTAGATTTTAGATACCTCAAAGCATAAGAATTGGTGGTATGTATCTAAATGCTGCTATCCCTTTATCTCTCTTCGCCCCAAAACCCTCACTTACGTTCCTCCCCCTCTCTGGGTTTCGCCCAAAACCATTGCCTTCGTGACCGAGCCCTCGGGTTGCCAGAGCTTGCTGAGAAGCAAATTACGGGATCGAGACAAAACAATTGAGGAATGTAACTCCGCACCCTTGTTTTGATGCGACGCGTGAGTTTCCTGGTTCACTAAATGTCCATTTGGGATAACTTTCTGTCTGCTTTGCTTTTAAGATTGCCACCAAAGTTTTGTTTTGAAAACTAATTGCTTGTTGTTTTTTAGAAATTTATATGATAGATAACTCTTTTTTAATATGGATTGCTAAAGTATGGTAGTTGTAAAACAACTACGGTCTAATTTTTTAAAAATAAAATAAAATTATAATTCTTCAAACAACTGCAACTAAATCAGCCCAATAGTAGGATTTAATAGGCCTTAATCCATGAAATTCAGATTTATCAAATTTGCTGATTTATTTTCCAAACAGACAGTCCCCTTAAGGGGTGTTTGGCTGCAAGTAGGATTTAAGTTAAATAGGATTTACTAAATCAATAAATTCAGATATATTAAATCAAAAATTATATTTGGTTTAATTAAGGTTAAATTCATTTGATATGTTGGACACATGAATATAATTAAAAAATATATTTTTTTCTATGCTAAATCACTTAAATT